TTTGAAATAAAAATGCAATATTTCAAAATACCGCAAGATTATTTAGATTAAAAAGGAGCAGACCGTTTTTTGTCTTCTTTCTAAATTCCTGGTGGTTTATCTCTTCCTCAAAGAATCAAAGCTGATTCAAAATGGGTCAAAGGATGTGCTGGAATGAACTATCGTGATCTAATTCCTGGTCGCCAGGATGGACATGCAAACATGAAACGTCCCCCCCATAATCGGGGAGCTCGCTTGCCGTTGGCAATTCAATGTTGTTTCGATGTAACAGTGAGTGGACCTTCGCGGAAAGATTCAGCTGACATGGATAAAATCTTTCTTACCAACAACTCTGCAGAAAAAAGGAATTTCAAAATGTTTTCTAGGATCTCCACCTATTATCCTGCTTTCATTCGGATAGACAGCAGGATCGACGAAGTATTTATTCTGAACCGTACTGTAGTTTGATAAAGATCAGATAGAAAAATGTCAACATGTTTTGTAGCCTTTGTCTAGTTGCATATGGTTTCATACTTTACAAATATGCGAAGTTAACATAATCACAATTTTATAATGACAAACGTATACAGGCAGCAATCATTGCAATTATAAAACCTATAACAAAAGCAAAGATGTACCTTTATAATTGCTGTTGGTGTTATTGTATATAGCTCTTGAAACTTATAATCAATCGACTCTTCAACAATTGACTTATGTAATAAATGTTATACATAAATAGTTGCGAAGGTTCCAGGAAGTGACACTTCCAATAGTTGCACGTCTTCTGACCATTCAACAAAAGCGTGAGATAGCTTTTCAGGCATCACAAATGTGTCACCAGCTGTGAACTTCTCGATGGTTCGGCCTTTGACAAGAAGTGAGAGTTCGCCAGTGAGCAGGAACATAAAGACGAACTCAGCATCGTGCTCGCACATCTGAGGCTTAACATCGCCGTTGCTACGAATGATTCGAACACCAGCCAGATCTTCAGTTGCAGCAGCGATCCCTGTGTCCCGAAATTCGAAACCAGGCAATCGCCATGGCTGCCATTCGGCGTTTTCTTCCATCGCGACATATTTCACAAAACGTTGTCCTCCGTAGTCATAATCGGGGAGCTCGTTTGCTGTTGGCAATTCAATGTTGTGGTCGATGTAAGTGTTATGTACTGCTGGACAGGCCATTTCGATCACCTCGAGACCCCCAGAACTTTCGAGCACTCGATGACGAATCCTTGGAGGTTGCAATACGCAGTCTCCTGCATGAAGAACGAATGGGTATCCCTGATTCTCGTATACGAGACGTGCCCAACCTTTATACACATAGATCATCTGAAATCGAACATCATGATAGTGCACGTGATCGGGCACTGGTCCACCATTTGGAATCTGGATATGTGATGCAATGAAACGTCCACCTTGGCGACCAGGAATTAGATCACGATAGTTCATTCCAGCACGTCCTTTGACCCATTGTGCATCGGTGTTCATTTTGGTAACGACGAACGATTGTTTGACGGACGGTATTACAAGTTTAGCAGTGGCCTCCACAAGTTGGATCTTTGTACCATTCGGTGCAAATAACTCGGTGATTTCGTTTGCAAAAAGCCCTGACCCGTGTGCTAGAAGCAAACGGATTGTACCAGCCGATTGTATTGATTCACCAGTGTTGCGTTCTAATCGTATATTAAGTCCATGTCCAGAGATCATGACCACTGCTGGATCATCGGCTGGAGAGACGATATCAACCCGAAAGCCAAGTCGATCTGTAAAGAACGCAAGCGTCTCGTCGAATGGTGAACACGACAGAACTATTTGTGCTGATTGAATATATTGTGTAATGTTTACAGATTCCAATTGACAAGATTCAACAAATTCCATTTTAAAATAACGTCTAAGAAGAAATTTAGAACAAGAACAGAATATTTGCAGTGACTATGCAAAAGATGAACATAAAGGCATATGTTGCCATTCCATAACTGTCATAAATGGAAACTAACTTTTGCCTAAAAAGACTTAACCAGCTTTGGAAACTCCCAAAGATATATGTATATATCTGGAGTTAAGGTTTAGAGTGTGTAACTTTTGGCTTCGTCTCTCCTCGATGAATGGGCAACTCTTACTGCCAAGACGATGTTTTAGAGGGTGAGTGCAGACAAATTCTTAAATGATTGATACAAACTCCTACTGTTTATAATAGCGTAGCTAAAATGTTGAATAAGTACTGACAAGATTTGTGACAACTGACTTCTCTTTCAAAATAATAGTTTCCACACTATAACAGAATCAGAGTTTCACATTTTCAATTCGGCGTACCACGCTGATAGGCTTTCTAGCCCTTTAAGTCCTAAATTATTTCTACTGGGCTGCACAAAAATGTATGGTGCATTATCTCTAAACTCTTTCTGTCTATATTTTTTCATGCTTTAATCTACTGCAGAAATGAGACGAGTGCATCATATTTTTAACATTTCTCGAATGCAATGTGAAAATGACCTTCTAATTCGGTCAGTGAATTCACAAATCTGCAAGTGTCAGTTTAAGGCTTCCTCCTGTCAAAGACCTATTTTTGTCCCAGAACATCCGATCCTGATGAAATTTTTTGACCTTAGGCACGGACAGTAAAAATTTGAACTAGGAAAATATTGAGCTTTTTAACATTAAGGGTTAACAAGTGTGTCCGTGCGTCTCAGTTTTCTTCTGCAATTCTAATGATATAGACTTTCGGAGTAGTATCGAAATGACGCCAGCACTCAGCACTATAACTTATGTTTGAAAATTGTTGTTTATTCTCTCCAAAAGTTATCTTTCAAAAAGTTGGAAAAACAGGGCTAAATTTTCTAAAAACTGTATTTTCTAAAACGTTAAACTGAAAAACTAAAATGTACATCTCTGTTAAATTGTAGCGTTGAGCCTGCGTTTTAATTTGAAACCTTCTCGATCTTTCAAGCATCTGATGAGCAACACCTTTTTTCCTACAACTGTACTTTTAAACTTATACTTGCAGATTATCCAATGAAACCAGCAGACACATGTCATCAATATACGTCTTCGTCAGTGGCTTTAGAATTTTCAGAAAAACTCGACAATGAAATTATAATAACAGATGTATGTAATCCGATGTTAAATGTACAGTTATGGTCTATGACGAACAATTTCTTTCTAAGTATATGTCATCAATGTATCAGTGAATATACAACGAAGATTTATCACACAAAGACAATCCTTGTATAGATAACTTTGACGTTCTGTCATATATCGTTGTACATGATATATGACAGAACGTCAAAGTTTACTTCTGCAGTAGTTTTCTGCATAAGTGAAATTTGTTCGGTTCTGTCTGTTATCTGTACAAGGACCAAGGATTGTCTTTGTGTGATAAATCTTCGATGCATATTCACTCATACATTGAAGAACGAATAAAATAAAATGAAATAAAGTAATATAGACAGAAGCGAGTGAATATATGATAAACTGTAACAACATTCAAGTTTTAGAGTCTCTGTCATAGAAAGTCGCATCAATCAATCACTTATATCTTTTCTGCTTTGATTTTTTTTAAGAAGAACTAGTCTTAGTTTTTTCCCATAACTTTATACAACGAAAAACACTTGAATTTTAAAGTTAAAATTTGTTCGTGCGTCTCAGATTTCTCCGCCGTTTCAAATGCTAGAAAGATCAGAAAGGTTTCAGCATGAGGCGCTGGCTCAGCGCTATAATTGAACCGAGCTAGACATTTTAGTTTTTCAGTTTAATATTTGAGAAAATACAGTTTTTAGAAAATTTTGGTGATTTCGTTGGTGACTTTGCAACGAAAAATAAGCGAATTTTCATGCTTCAATCTACTGCTGAAATGAGACGCATTATAATAGGATCAGACTTTCACATTTGCAGTCTGGCGTGTACAAATGTACATCTTTGTTAAGTTGTAGTGCTGAGCTTGCGCTTCATTTTAAAACCTGAGACGCATGAACAAGTAAAACTTCACAAGTTTTAACTTTAAAATAAAATTCAAATTTGTTTCTTTATATAGCACTATAGAAAAAAACTAACAGTAGAGGTTATCGAACATGGCGAATCGAATAAACACATATAGAGGCGTGTGCTTCAATAACTGAAGTTTTCAAATAAAATCAATTTTTTTCATTTTGAGTGTTTCTGGAAGATCTCTGTAAAATCATTGTAAACCAGTAAATCATAGTGCATTCGAAAGTAGACATTTTCGACTGTCCAGTCAAGTATAAATCTCAAAATCGGTATTTTTGATAAAAAGAATCTTGAAACCAAAGTTTCAGTACTAAGGTCAGCAAGGTCTTTTTTTTCTAGAATGGTAGTTTTAAACTTATGCGTGCAGATGTTTCAATGAAACTTTCTAGCTAGAAGTAGACACATGTCAACAATATACTGACTGAATTACAAGGTCCACTTCACATTATTTCCGAAAAACATTTAAACTATGATGCACACGTCACATTTCTGTAGCGAATTAAAACACAAGAAAAATGCTATAAATGATGTATTGCTTGAAGATAAAACTTATTTTTATCTTCAATGTCACTATTGATTATTTTGGTTTTAAGAAGGTGTACATCTCACATGTATCAGTGGACGCGTTTGCTTAACGTCATGGGACCCAAAGGACTAAAAAGGGTGCTGCGTATTTATTTGATAGTTTTTAGAACTTTGACTGCCTGAGAGTGGAAAGGTCAACATGCCTTTGTTCATAACTATGAAGTTTTTAAACAGTTTTAAAATGTATAATCATGACACGAAATTATTATTTATATTTATTCTCACTATTTGTTAAGGTTGTGACCGGTACTGATGATGATTTGTTACAATATTGACAAAATCAAATGAAAAAAAACAAGAAACAACGAAAGGTAGGCACTACTATCCATTTCAAAATAGAATGGCCGGTCAGTGTTGACCTTATAGCTCCGGAACGGTGATAGATAGAGAGGTGCGGTTTTCACCATTCGAAAGAGAAATATGGGGCTACGATACCCATGAA